AAATGACTTATGAATAAATTCTTTACAAATTAAATAATAGGATGAATTAAATCAAATGTCTGAGCTAATTTGAATTTACTCGATACATTTTTTTTTCTTATCGATTAGCGATGGAGATAACAGCTGTTGTCAATATATTTTTCTGATTTTTCTTCCTTTATTCTCTCCCAGTGCGTAGTAGGATGTATTAGTTTTGGGTCTCTCTAGGTATTGCATTTGGGAGGCCGCCTCTTCGTGGCCTGTGGTGGGGTATGGCTCAGCGTCCAGGGATCGGACCAGCGAAATCCTGGGCCGCCGCACCGGAGGGGGGGAGGAGGAGAAGGAGGAGGGGAGGAGGAGGAGGGAATGCCAGAGGGGGAGGGGAGGAGGAGAGGGAGAAAGAAGAGGAGGGGAGGAGGAGGTGGGCTGGTGCTCCAGGGCAGGGGTGCATAACGAGGGGAAGTGCTTTCAGCAGAGGGAACAGCATGTGTGAAGTCTGAGCTGGGAAGGCTGTTTGTTTGGACAATTGAAAGTTCAGTACAGCCAGGGTGTACCACACAGGGGTGAGCAGACAGACACGAGGCTGGGGAGAGAGAGAGTGAGGGAGGGAGAGAGGGAGGGAGGGAAAGAGACAGAGAGAGGGAGACAGAGACAGAGAGAGGGAGAGAGAGGGAGGGAAACAGAGAGACAGACAGAGGATGGGCCTTGGGCCGCGTTCCTCACGGAGCTTGAACTTGGTTTGAGAGCAGGCAGCTACCGCAGGAGCCTGGCAGGAATGGACCTGCTTGTCGGGATGTCACTCTGGCTGGAGTGCGGGGGGGAAAAAGGGGAAAAAGGCTGGAGGGGAGGTGGGGACGTCCACCGTCTCTCTGATCAGAATTCCCTTTTCCCATCTTCTGCGGGAAATTTCTCTTAAGCCCAGGCAATGTGCCCTCCTCTGTGAAGCCGTCCTGGATTCTCCCAGGTAGAGAGGACTCTCCCCCCGTTATGAAGGGTTTGCTTCTGCTTCCTGGCGACTGTTTCTCTGTATACATCGCTCGCTATTTGTGAGTGCGTCATAGCTGCTCTCTCGGGCTGTGAGACCACGTGGAGAAGGATTCCATCTTGCTGATGTGTTGTACGCTGTACGGAACCAGGACAGTGCCTTGTCCCGAAATAGGTGTTTAAGGCACATGAGTAAAAACAAGATTTAGAAGTCTATTTGTACAACTTTATTTCTATAATAAATACCAAGTTCTCAAGGGGAACAAAACACCGTAAGGCCAGTCTGCGAAACCTCTGACCCTGACAGTACACAACGACGCGATGCTAGACGCTCAGGTGACTCAACAGTGTGCAGCTTTCCACGTGGTAACGACACAGTTGGCAGTTACTGGAGACACCTTTTAACTGGAGGAGCAAGCACAGCGGAAAGTTTCTGCTTTATTTTTCAAAGCTATTTCTTCCTTTGGTGAACAGTCCTTGAAGTTGCCTTAAACACTCTTTGGTGTCACGTTCAACATTTTATATTTTGCTGATTTGGACAATTATGGGGAGAGGGAAATTCCACAAGGAGGTTTCAATCTCAACTCCACCATCTCAACTCCAAAGTCACTTTTCTTCCTGAATCTTTTACTGCGAAGGAGGTGGTACAGGTACCCTGGGCACCCTATCCTGGTGGCTGCCTGGGCCCACTGTCTTCCTGATGGAAACTTCTCAACCAGTGTCCACACCACTGCCAGCTCAGCCAAGTGGCCGGAGAGTGTTGTAAACAGAGGATGCTCTTGTCCAGGAGCAGCCCGACCCCGAGGAGCTGGACTGACCAGCCATGCTCAGTGGCCAGTCATACTGGCTCTCTCTGCACGGGGACAGGAAAACACAGGTGGACTGGCCAGTGGGAGGGAGGTGACAATGTGGATCCCAGCTGCCATATGGACTGTTTTAGAGAAGGAGATGGACACAGGAGCTGGTCCCAGTGGACCTGGGTCCTCAGGACTCCCAGCTCCAGCCCACGCTGGCCGCGCTTCTTGGCCATGAGCCCCCCCGACGTGGTGCTGCCCCATCTTATCTTCAGCTGACCTCAGTGAGCCCGTGTTGCCACCTTATAAGCCCAATGAGTCCCCATAAGGACCAGGAGCCTAGGGATGTTCCAGCCCTTCCACTCATTCAGAAATGTCATACGTATCACAGAGTGTCTGCTCTGTCCAGACACTAGCCAGGGATGTCTAGAAAGCTGGGGGCTGGCTCACCAGCAGCTCCTCTAAGCCCACCCTTGGCTTCTGCTGGCAGAGCCACGTTGTGTATTTTGCAAAAACGCTTATTTATTGCACAAAGGACATCATCACAACAATGCCATAACAAATTTAAAAATCAGCTGCATCACCATCACCTTTATCCAAGGAACCCTTCATTTTTCTCTCCCCTTATTTAGATGCATATGCGAGGTCTGTTACATGGTAGCATAATGATAATGGTTTAAAAGTTTTGCCGGCTGAATAGGTATAACACAGTATTTATTCTTAATTTATAGTTCTTTATTTGGTGTGGCTAAATTTCATTTTTCTTGTTTTGTTTGCTTGTTTGCCAGCTTTATGACCTTATCTTGTTTACTCGCAAGCATTTCCCCAGCACCTACTGTGTGTGGGACTTTTTAGGAGCTGGGGCTACAGGATGCATCCTTCAGGCTCTGCCTTTGGGGCCTGCCTGCAGGATCCCCGGTTCTCCTACGCTAGGATTCCTGGATTCTCACTGACTATGCCCTGGAAACCCCCGTTACGCCACATCTCAGTTCTTCTTACTGATGTCTGCCGGTGTCGCCTCTTACAGGGGTGTCACCTCTTCCCGGGTCCTGGGCTTCCCCGTGACTGTCAGATCCATGTTTTCCTCCAGGGAAACTGGGGGTCGCCTTCCCAGATCCCCCTCCTCCCCATGCAGCTCAGCTCTCACACTCTGGCCTGCCCACCGAGGTGAAGGGGGCATGTCCAGCCATGGCCTGTGCTCTCACACTCACTTCTTCAGCTGTCTCCATCATTAGCAAACACTTTCATTTTACTTAACCCTGTGGAGAGCTTAAAAAACATTCCCAAGACCCCAGCCCTACCCCAGACCAATTAAGTGAGAATCTCTTCAAGTGGGACATCTATATTGGGGTTTCTTTTTTCTCAAAACCACCCTGGGCATTCTAAT